ATCATATTTGCGACTCGAGTCTGACTCGAGTCAAGTCATGTGACTCGAGCCCCCCATCTCTGTAAAATACTATCACTAACTAGCTCTATACTGCAATACAACAGTGCTATTTCTCTGTTTCTATGTCTTCTACATCATCAACTGGTGGAGATAGCTAATTTTTCTTGTGTTCTGGCTTTAGCCCTAAACCTTTAGCATAAGTAGCCATCAAGTGTAGACAGTATTGAACACCCTTTTACAAAAATTTAGCTGGAAACATTAAAAAGTCAGCCAGTTTTCAACCAACAAGTCAAGCTAATGTTGGCTGAATTAGTTAGCTAAATACAGCTGATTAAACCATGAAGCCTCTCCGTGCAACTGACAAAATTGACGGTCACCAGTTGATGACAAGCCTGCTTTCATCTGCCTTTGTCTAAAATTGTTAAAAATTACAAGTGTCACTGTAAAGGCGTATTCTTGACAGGTACAGGGCTTAGTGTATGGTCCACTGCTTTCCACTTTATAATAAAGGTCTTGCTGAGATTGATTTCAGCACTTGAGTCTTTAGCTGAGGTTATGGGGTCAGCACAGTTTTCTAGATTGTTAAAAAAACAGTTTACAGTCTTTAACACACACAGAAATCATTAGCTAATCTTGACAGCGGTAAGTGGGTGTTAAATGAATATGATAAAAGATGGCTACTGAGATTTAGACCTTCAAAGAATCCTCTGACTTGGTTGATCAATATACCACAAGAGCCTTACAACATGATTGTGTGCTTCTTTACAGTGACCAGAATGTTTACCTTGAGGATTAAGGGAGATCAATGACTCCTTGAATGAGAAAACTACCCAACAACACCAGGTTTCTGCTTGTAATCTGAGTAGATTAAAAAGAAAAACTTTGAACATGCTGAAGCACATTTGACAGGTGTGAATGACTTTGTCACATTGATGCAGATACATTGTCTGTTTTGCCTTTATACAATATATCTAGCACCATCCCCATTCCATCAAAATCTGGCATTCCTCCCACCTCTGCATAAAGAACTACCTTTATGCTTCTCTCAACACTAATGAATGAATGTGATAAGGGGTCCCTCAGGAGCTGAGAAGAGCAATATTGTGCTAAGGGAACATTAGCTGTCAGCTGTGTATCTGCAGTGGATGTGAAGTTATAAGTATGCCTTGTTCTCCCTGAGATGACGTAAATGTAATTATGTTACAAGCACAGCAAGGACGCTGTCCACCAGTGTGTTGGCAAGTGCTCCCTAACTACAAATCAACTGCAATTTTATAACTTGCTTCAGTTGTGCTGTTCTGTTGTTCTTCACAATCCCATTACAGTTAATATCAAGCCTGGGTTTATATTTGTCAGTGTTGTATTCTTTTTGTTTGGTGATGTAGTTTTAAAGCTGCATTAATCAATATTTTAATATTAACAAAGGGTCAAATGTGTCTGTGAATGGAGTGACTTATGCTCCCCTTATCGACACAAATAAATACGTCGGTTTTAAATGTTATAAACATCACTGCCCTCATACTTCCATGCGTCCTTTATGATGGCATAGATACAGCCAATAAATGACACTAAAGGGCAGATAGGGTTCCCACACATTTTCATGGACAAACTTTCAAACTTTTCCATGACTTATTTACCCTGGAAATCCAGAGTTCTCACTAGAGCACAATTTGAATTTTCTCAGCGAGTCATTCTGGCAATCAGTAATGATGCTCATTACCCATGCCGTTGGAGCCGAGCTGCACCAATCACATCGGTGTATCTGATATAGGCGGGCCAGAGGCGAGCTAAACAGATGACGACAGCTCTGCTATTACTAAGTCTTGAATCAGTCAGTAAACATTGCAAGATGGCTACGGATGAACACCAGTTGTTTGAAACGGCTTTGGCCGCTATAATGAACGAGTTAGACTTGGCTTTTTCTCTAAAAGAGGAACAGAAGACGGCGCTCAAATCTTTCCTTTGCAAGAAGGATGTTTTTGCTGTTTTGCCGACCGGATATGGCAAGAGTCTAATCTACCAGTTAGCTCCGCTGGTAGCTAAGCTCTGGATACGTCACCCCGTGTATTTTTCTGATTGGTCATAGTGTTATCCAATTGCGTGCAGTGATATTTTCAAATGCATGCTTGGTGCCACCCCTCGAGTTGGGCCATTTTCGTCACTCATGGCCAGACCCTAAATCTTTCTAGATTTGGGTCTGGATTTCCAGTATATGACTTAGTGAGGACCCATGATAAAATTTTCATTTCGGGAAAGCATGCACCTCACTGTCTGCTGCACTTGCCAGCCTTGTTGCGGTACTTTTCCACACACACATGCAGGAAAGTCTGGCTTCCCGTAAGAAAACGGCACCACACTACGTCCCATATAAGCGTAATTCTAAAAGCCAAGGGCTTGGCTGGTATAAGTCATGGAAAATGAGAACTGTGCAAGTTTTCTATTTCCATATCAAGCTTAAAATAAGTTGTATGAGTTCATTTGCTTTACTTGACATTGTAGGTCCTTCGAAACGACTCTTGTGCAGCACAATGTCGATGCTCTATATATCACGCACCCCTAAGTTGACACATATTAGAGCTACATTATGTCAACGGCTAACTTCAAAAAAATAAATTTGACGGTATATTAAGTGGAAAGCTTTCTGTGGAAGATTACTGTAACAAATAATTTCAACAAAATTCCATGAGTTTTCCAAAAACTTTAAAAGATTTTTACTAATTCCATGACTTTTCCAGGCCTGGAAAATGAGGTTGTAAAATTCCATGACTTTCCCAGGTTTTCCATGATTGCGGGAACTCTGGGCACAGCCTAAAGTTTCTGTCAACAACAAACAAGGCGATGGTTGAGAAGGTTTTAAGAATGTACCTTTTTTTGTGATCAAATATTTTATTTTTATTGGAAATCTTGGAAACATGGGCAGTCATAAATTACATTTTACAAAATTGGGAAACACAAAGGAAACACAAAAATAGGCTTTCATAGATGATCTCAGTTGCAAATAGAAAAAGAAAGAGGTACCAGGTAAATTAAAACTCTCACGTAATTCCTGAAAAGAGCGTAGCCCATTCTCACCAAATAAGTCCCCAAGTGTGTGAATCCCTCTAGAGCTCGAACCCGGAAACGCAATAGGATGTCCACCTACTAGAAGACCAAGATTGTTGAATACAGGGGATAGTGCATTCCATTTTGAAGTGATCTTACAAAGTTTTTCTGCAGCTCTCCAGACAGTTACTAGCTGGGAAATAATAGGCCCAAAACGAACCCTACGTTGATTAGTGGTTACATTCGAATATAGAAGATCTCTCAGCTCAGTTGGATGAACCAAACTTTCCTCAAGTTCGTGCCATGACACATTGGCTGCTGGGTCAAACCATTTAAGAAGCTGACGTAGTGTGAAAGCCCAGTAGTAAAGTTTGAAATTAGGTAGCGAAAGGCCACCATCAGCTTTAGCTCACTGTAACAGGGAAAGCTTGAGACGGGGGCGCTTCCCATGCCAAACAAATTTAGAGACAGCAGAATGGAGTTTATTCCAATATTGGGTTGGAGGGGGCAGGGTAAGGACTGTAGGTTCCATCAGTCTGTGTACACACATCTAACACTGAGCATAAATGAAACCTTCAGAGAAGTATCACTTGACCCTGCTGTTCTCCTCAGCTGGTTGGACCATTTTAGTGTCTTTCAGCTAAGTTTTCTGGTTTTTGTTAACTCTCCCCTCCCTTAATGAATGTTGCATTAATAAACCTACTGTACACACCAAACAGCTTATAATCAAAGCTAGCAAATAGCTGGTGAATGTAATGAGGCATTTAGCAGCTAACGAGCCAACGTGAAGATCACTCCAGCAGAAAAAGGAGAGTGAATATTGGACTTGGATTTGTCAGGTAGCCAGAAACACAACACTAATAATGCATGTTATTCTGTCTACTGGTTGTGTAAATAAGCCACTGTTTGCTAATACATTTATGATAGTAAGGAGATAATATGACATTTTCAAAGCCAGTGTCCCAGAAATTATTAAAAAAATTACTTAATAACAATAACAAAAAAAAAATTGTTCAGAGTGATGGATTACCCCACTCTAACAAATTTCAAGTGGTTGCTGATAGATTTAACATTCATATTGTACAGAAATGAATGGAAGTCAATGGCTGGCTGTAGCAGTAGAAAAAAATACTTTCAGATTTCTCAAATGTAGTAGCAGGGTTTGCATATGCATATTACATATATGTGAAGTACAGTAAATTGAATTAACATGTACAATCAGTTGTATGGTCTTAAAATGAAAGAAGCTGCTGGTATTTTAGATTGACTTGAACAATAGAGTTGCATGCAATAATAGGCGTTTTCGGAAGAGAGGAATCTTTTCATAGTTCTGAGAACAAAGTTTTCTTGTGCCCACACCGCATGAACAAGGAATGATTGCAGTTCTGAGAACCCATTTTGAGGGATGTTTTTAGCTCCTATTTCAGAGTAGGTACACTCCCAGCACAATGTAAGTGTGCAGTGATTGATTGAACACATGAGCCATGATCAAAATTATACTACTACTATTTTAATCTTCATCTATCAAGTTTCCTTAACTTGATAGATGAAGATTAAGATAGATAGATAGATAGATAGATAGATAGATAGATAGATAGATTTTTGGCATATATTGTAGGTACACAGTGGCGGATTCAAGGCTCAAATGAGAATGGAGATGATTGTTCTGAGCAGTTGTGTGGAAAATAAGAAAGGCAAGCACGGCAAGTTGTTGAGCAGATGATAGTGTTTGATCAATCAAGCAATTCCTCAAGTGGCTGGCTCATAAAGGAAGTAAGGCTTTAGTACAGTAGCAATCAACAGAGGTATGCATAGGGAATGATATTGGAAAATGTGATGAAAATTGAGAATTCATCTCGTTACTGAAGTGTGCTGGTTTCTTATCGTGTTTCTGGAGGGGAAACAGATGAAAGACCAAAAGTTTTGTGTGCTAAAAATAAGGCAAAGAGACAAAAATGTTTCAGGTTCTGTCAGTATTTTATTTTATACCATCCTTACTGACCACATTGAAGTAAATAGTAACACTAGAAAGAGCAATCAGTTTTGGAGAAGAAAAGGGTTCTTCTTAGAAGAAAACACCTCCTTGGTCACAGGTGGGAGCGAGTATGAGTGGGGTTTCTGTGATAAAAGGTTGAGTCAGTAAGTGATTCACTAGATTTATATCTCGTCTTCAAGGAATTGACAGCTCTCCATAAGATGAAAAACACCGCAACACTGAAAACACAATCCCACTTTAGCCTCTTTGAAACTGTTACAGTGGAGAGGCAATCTTTGCTCAAGCTGTCCCCCAAATGATCGAGAGGAACAGACTGTGGAAATGTGCTGAGAACCCAAAAATGCCTCATTCTGGCAATTATGATGGCACAATAAAAAAGACACTGTTGTAGAAAATTGGATAAAAAGATAAAAGAGAGAAGAAACACCTCTGCAGAAGAGAGGGTGAATGTATGTGCGTTTTTCTGGAACACAATCAGTGAGGGGCAGCAAGTCAATATCTGAAGAATAAAAGAAAATTGCAGATATTGACCGTGCAGCCACAGGACATCAATGTTACGAGTTAAGTCTCACTTCTTCCTTCCTCACCTCTCCCCTGTGATCCCCCTCTTTGTTATAGGGCTTGTTCCAGCCAGTGAGCAGTGCTGTCACCCGTGTGTGCCTCAGGGCATGGCAGGGTCTGAGATGGCGTGCGCAGGGTCGCAGGTGAAGGACACGGTGATGGCGAAGCGCGTCCCCCATGTCACCTTCTCCACGCGGTGGAGGTTCTCTGAGCCAGAAGAGAAGAAAGAGACTCGTCCTGGGCAAGGAGAGAATGAGAGGGACTTTTTAGGAGAGAGGAGAGAATAAATGGCTTAGTTCAACATTTTGGGAAATATGCTTGTTTGCTGTCTTTTTAAGACTGGGATAATACATCAATATTATGTGAGTGAGGACATTGTTTACCCAGCTTGTTTTTAAAACTGGAAGCAGGGGAAACAGCTTGCCTGTTCAAAAATATCCCAAAGTTTAGAAATACACCTACGAACACCTCTACAGCCCACTCATTTACACTATGTATCATGTTTTTTTAGAAACAGGTCAACATTTTGGGAAATGCACTTTAATAATTTGTAAAGGAAGCATATTTTTTACTCAAAGCGAGGTAAAAAGACTGATATCAATCACGTCTGTGTGTCAAGTACAGAGTCAGAGTCAGGGCGTGTTTAGCCTGACTTAGCATAAAGGCTGAAGGCAGGAGGAAACAGTTAGCCTGGCTCTCCCAAAAGTGAAACTAGAGTCATCGCTATGCTTCCGCCAACTAGTCAAGTACAGTTTGCACCCATGTCTGTCAAGACTCATCTGTTGCCATGACATTAGAGAATGCTTCAGATATAAAGTGTGATGCTAAGAGGCTACAAATTCGGAATATTGATTCTTCACACACATCTTCAACTCTCAAGCACCAAAGTTCTCAACAATCAACACAGTTTCAAGGTGGACAACCATAGTGTCACCCATTAAGTATCTGACCTAAGTATGTCTGGTGTGAAATATGGTCATAGCCTCCGCTGGCAATGACAATGGACAGAGAAGTTTTTTGTAGAACATTATGATGTCACAGTGAAGTTGGCTTTTGAACTTTTGTATATAAAATGTCATTACCTCATCATTTATCCTTTTAGACATTTGTGTGAAACTCTGTCATAATTAGCATATTAATTCTTGAGTTATGGCCAAACACAGGTTTTGTGGTTTTGTGAGGTCACACTGACCTTGACCTTTGACCACCAAATCCTAATTGGTTAATCCTAAAATCCAAGTGGACATCTGTGCCAAATTTGAGGAAATGCCCCTCAAGGCATAGGTGTTTCTAGCCCATTTTTGTGGGTGCTGGAGCACTCCTAAATTGAATCCCAGCACCCCTAAAATTTGAGAGATTTATATTTATTTAATTTTTTTATTGTATGTCCTTTTTTAAGAAGCTAGAAAAGTGTCAAAACCATACGGTACTTGGTTGAAATGTAATATTTTAACAACAAAAATGCCTCAAAAATTGTTTGATCCACCACATCCCTCCCACCTTTCCACGATCCAGCCAGGCTCTGAGCGCTCTATCTGCACAGAGCAATGCCCTGTCTTCCAGAGTGGGTGATATGCAGTAGTGGTGTAAGTACCTGGCTTAAACCAGGATATGTGGCACATTTCTTAACTTCTACCACTCAATACCAACACATTATTATCATTACCAGTCCTCATTTTTGCTGCATTTCTGTTGCACAGTTCTGGTCACTGTTTATGTTGTTAGGTAGGAGTTAGCTAATGTTTTTTCTAGCTAGGAAACATTACAGGTGGTCAGTACCACTGTCCTCTGTTTGAACTGGAATGAGAGAAGCTAGCTGTTGTGTCGTGTGCATGTGTTAATATTAAAGCCAAGGTGCTACGACTAGCTAACTGACTGGATGCCCATTAACATTATAACTCCTGTTGTGTGTGTGTGTGTGTGTGTGTGTGTGTGTGTGTGTACAGACAGACAGACAGCCTCATCATGGATATAAGATCGTTTTTTCGAAAAAAAAGAGCCAGGTTCAGGTAAGAGTGTAAGATCAAATGGCCTATCTATCTAGAATGATGTTGTAAGTTTGATCAATGTATCAGTTTATATCTCTTATTAGATATAAAACGCATTGTTTGGTTATTTGCCTTTTGGTTGACAGTACAAAGAGAGAGAGAGGAGCAGAGAGAGGACTTTATTTATTAGTATTCTTAATAGTATTTTTGGTATTTTTGGTACTCACTATAGGGGTCTGGTTTACTCCAGAAACATGCATACTGTTTATGTGTATGTTGAGGAGCTGCTGTATCAAAATGAGTTGTCTTCCCCCAGAAAATAGGGTTATGATATGTTTCTTTTATGATTCCAATCCATTCCTCTTTTGCTGTGGCTCAGCACCTTTTAAATAACCTTTATCAGATTTGATGGTTCAGTCACAGACTTTCCCAAAAAGTGTTTTTCTTTCACAAATTGAGTTAAAATGTACAAAACAGTGAAATTTATCTTGCCTGGCCGGGCAGCTCTCTGGGTGCTCAGCACCCCTAAACCTCTGATCCTAGAATCGCCCCTGCCTCAAGGCATTCTTGAGATATCATGCAGATGCACAGACAGAAGGACAACTCGAGAACAGGCGCGGAGGCATGGAAAAAAAAACCTACCAACAATCAACTCTGAAGCTGACCAATTGTTTGTTTAACCAATACACGAACAGAAATGTTTATTTTAGGCAGAACTTCAGTGCAGTTCAGTCTTTCTGGCAAGTTCTGTGATAAGACTGCACGTGTCACTGCAGCTGTTTGTTGTTAACTAAAAAAATGTTCTAAAACAGCTCCAACAAGTAACCACCCCTAAAATCACAAAACACTTTTACATTTCTGTTTATAAAGCAAATACATCATGTTACCTACTAAGATTTAGAGGTGTAAGTAGAACAACAACAACTGAGCATGCCTGAGTGGCTGACTCCCGGTTTAGCGCTCTGCTTATCTGAATGGGGATAAAATAATTTAATCTTGCAGCTCTTTTAGACTTTCCAAATGTTATCGGCAAGACTGTATTAAATCTCAATGATGGAGCGAGTCATTTTGTGGGGGTGTGTGACGTTCAAAAAATCGTATCCACTGATTTATAGACATCTCTTTCCCAAAGTAAGTCTACAATATAAAGTCTTTTTGGGCCCAATAATGGCATCACATGACAGACCCTGGAAATTTCAGTACCACTGTTTCGTCATTACGTAAATTGGCTTCAAAGCCTGGCACACTTCCTGGGGGCCCAGTTTTCCCTTTCCTCCAGTCTTTGTATTAAGCTAAGCTAAGCATATCCTGACTCAAGCTAAATTGTTGTTGGTCAAGAAATAGCCTTAACATGTAACTACCTAAAAGTTCAAATTGTCACATTTACATTTCTCTTTATGGAGGTGGTAAAACAAACAAGACTTACTGTATGAATTATTTAGTTCATTTTAGTTTGTAGTAGTTAATTGAGCTTTTATTTTTCCATTCTATATGCTAAGCTAGGGTAAACCATATCCTGACTTGAACTTGTTGCGTGGACATTAGAGTGATAATAATATTCTCATCTCAGCATTGGAAAGACAACGAATAACCTTATTCCCCAAACTGTTGAACTGTTCATTTAAAGTATACTATGCAGCATTGCCTGTGGAGCTGCTTGTTGAAATTTTATGAGGGGAGAGGACACAAAAAGACCAAGAGAGAAGCTGGAACCCTAAGGAGATGAAGGGGCCACAAGGACACGCTCAACTTATTCCAGAATTATATTTTAGCAAATGCTGAAATGCATTCTTTTCACTGTCAGATTTAAAAGATTTTTGATACTTTTTTTTTCTGGGACAGACACACAGTGTGAGTTTGGGGAGGTTGCCTCGGGGTAAATTCTCTTCCTTTATCAGAGGCTTTGCTTCGCTGGGCCAGCTAATGAGCTATTGCAATTTACCAGCCAGTCTGGTTCTTTCTAAACACAACCTGCTCTGTCTTGGAAAGACATTTGCATTAATGTTTACTTAGCTAGTCTGCGGTCGTGTTGCATAATTAAGAGATTTATATTTAAAAAGTTTCAAACTTGTTTGTTTTGGTACAAAACTTCCAGTTTCTTTGCCTTTTGAAGAGGTTATCTCATTATGTGAATATGAATAAAAAGCTGGAATCATTGTGCCCCAATTTGTTTGCTGTTTTCCCTCCAAGAAATACTGATGACTTGTTGTGCACATCTGTGTATGTGTGTGTGAGGGTAAATCCCCCTGGCAGGGCATTAGCTGAGGATGTCAGGGGAAATCAGCGCTTGCAGTTAAACAGTGGAACGTACACTGAAAACCCAAAGAATGGGACATAAGAAGAAAGAGAATTAATGCACATAAAGAGAGTGTGAGCGGCAAGACAATAAGTGGTGGTCTGCTTGTTTTATGTCATTGAAAGAGAGGGCATTTTCAAGTGCTCAAATTAGCCACACAGCTTTAGATAACTGCACAATGAAATAATCTTTGAAAATAATCCCTTGCACTTGTCAACATAAACGTTCCCAGTGTTTACTGTGAAGAACCAAGCAGATTCAGTACAGTCAGCATAGGAGATTAGTTGCAGCACAATGGAGGGATATTCACAGGGGAATTCAACAGGGTTCACACTCTTCCAGAAATCATTTTTCAGGGCATTTACAGGACATTATTCAAGAACCTAAAGATACTTTTTGTGTGAAAGTCTCAATGAAGGTGAGAATGGTAAGGATACAGTTTATACTTACAATCAGATCAGCCTTTACATTTAAGATTATTACCAATGGAAACCAGATTGCCCACACACACGACTTCCCTGGTCACATTTGGAAACACTTATTAAAAGGCACCGTTTTCATGAAAACAAATACTGACGTAGCAACTTACTTACTGACTTCATGCAGATGCAGAGAACATTGTGTCCCTGCAGAAACTGATGTCTTCACAACCTTACACCTTTTTGCAGTGGGCAAAATAAAGCTGTGCAACTGTCATAGTTCAGTCAGCAATTTTAAGAGGTAATACATCAAATTGCTTTTACAGCGCCTCATAAAGATCATGACTTAATCATTGTCCGTGAGAGTGGATAAACTCTTATTTTGAACACAGTCATGTTCCCAAGTTAAGGATATCCCAAGATCTAATGTACGTTCTTATAATTTCTCTATTTATTTTGGGTATGCACAGTAATATCAGCACATCATTGGTATCAGCCAATATTGGCTTTAAAATTAACCAGAATCTACCAACA